CAGCTACCATTCGAGTATCGGCATGGCTCCTTACGAAGTTTTGTATGGTAGAAAATGTTGTTCTCCAATCTGTTGGACCGAGGTAGGTGACAAACCATTGTTGGGACCGGAACTTGTGCAAGAAGCAATTGAAAATGTGAAATTGATCCAACAGAGATTGAAAACTGCACAAAGCCGTCAAAAGAGTTATGTAGATGTCTGAAGAAGAGATAGGGAATATGAAGTCAAGGATCATGTATTTATCAAAGTGATTCCTATGAAAGGGCAAACGTTGTTTGGAGTGAAAGATAAATTGGCACTGAGATATATTGGGCCATATGAGATCCTTGAGAAAATCAATTCGGTAACATATCGAGTAGCCTTACCGCCAGTTATGAAGAATATGTACAATGTTTTTTATGTCTCAATGCTCCGAGAATATTTGAGAGATTCGTTCCACATAATTGAACCTACTTATATGCTTTTGAAAGAGGATTTTACTTATGAATAATGACCAATACAGATTGTTAACCGCCGAATTAAAAGATTGAAGAACAAAGAAATCCCATTGGTGAAAATGGATTGGCAGAACCACGGAGAGACTTATGCAACATGGAAGACCGAAGAAGATATGATGAAAAGATACCCTGACCTGTTCCCTTTGGATCCGATTTTTTTCCAAAACGAAGGTAATTCGAGTTTAGAGGACCAAACTCTTTAAGGAGGGAGACTGTAACAACCCCGACATATGATTAGTCGATAAACCATGAATAGTTATGCCGAATGAATAATTAAAAGGAAATTCTGAATTACTTGCATATGTGTTGTATTATTTGTGTTTCTATCTGTCTATCGTAGAAAGATCTGTTAGTGTTTCTGTTTTATTTTGCGAATTGAAGGGCTTATCGGCATCTGATCACAAAATTGACTCGATATATGTGTTATTTGGAATTTTTAGAAAATTATGATAGGTTGAATTGAAATTCGATTCGGAACGAATTAATTAGAACAAAGTGGTCCTACGTAGTTATCTTAAACTCAAGTTAATTAAGCTTCATTAGTTGAACCTATATAAGGCCTATACACCACTTAGACTTATCTTTTCTCCATCTTTTTGAGCTTTTACACGTGAGAGAGAGGGAGAGAAAGAAGGAAGTGAGATCAAAGAAGAGGCTCTGTATTTGATCTGTCAGTGCTAATGAATGTACCATGTATGATTAAGCATAAATTCTGATTTCTGATATGACATCTGTTTCTGAATCTGATATGGGACATCATTCATTTAAACCCTTTACTCTGTTATTATTCACTGGGTTTCCACTCACTATTTATATTATGTATGTAGGTGAACAGGCGCGTGACCAGGCCTAAGCTGCTGTCTAGGGAGTTTTGGGTCAGCCAGCCACCGTGCCTTCTGGGGAGGTTTCGTTTTGAGAAGTGGTCAAATTTTTGTAATCAATGTTTAAGATCTTTTTGTATTCCCTTGCTAAGCGTAATCTGGACTTTAGTTGTCTGTACGTATGAATGTTGACGTGGCTATGACATCTTATAAATATAAATATAAGTTTTAAATTTCTGTCATATGTACGTCAGTACAGCTTTATGGACATTGTATTTCATATTTGCTTTCACAACCGCTTATATTTTATGATCTTCATATTAGAGACCTTTGGTAATCCAAGGATTGATGTTAAACCTATAGGGGCAGCTTTAGGTCATGACAGTAACATTCTAATCAATGTAATATACAAAAATTCCTTGGTGTATTTTTTCCAAACATAACACTCTAATGTAACACTAGAAAATCACACTAACAGAAATGTAAATTTTCACGCTCGACAACTAACACTTCAGCCACCAATCCCCCCAAAAGAATTTTTCATATCTCATATTTTCATTCTCATCCCAAAAACGAATCAAAAAATTGAAACAATAAATTATAAAAGGGTATTCACTTAAATTCAAATGGCACCAAATCAAATAAATACAACTTTTCACAATAAAAAGAACTAATTGGTTCATAAGAAAACTCTTAGGATCAAATAAATCAACATTTCCCTTTATGAGATTTATGAGTAAAGTTTTCATTTTTTTTTTTTTGGGGGGATCAATTATGCTAAAATTGCTCAATCATTTATAAATATTATCTTATTAATTTTATATTTTATATGTTTTAATCTCATAAATTATAAAAATGTATTACTTGTATGATTATTATAGTTCAATGAATTAGTTGAATGAATTAAAAATGTCTGGATTTAAAAATAAGGAGATAATGTAATCACATAAATTATATTTGGTGATAGTGGTGGTGGTGATTGAACGAAGGTGGAAATAGAGGTGAAGGCATAGTGGTGAGGCGATAGTGGCGGTGACGATGGCAGTTGCTGTGGTGTTGGTGGTAGAGGTGAGAGTGACAGGGAAACATGGTGAAATTAGTAAAATTTTAATCTGTAAAATGTTTTAGTGGAAAATATTTTCTATTCACATAGGCTTATTTTTCTATTGACCATGAAAAATATTTTTCATTGACTTTCATTTTCCATTCTATCCAACACAAGAAAATACGAAAATAATTTTTTAGAAAATATTTTCTGCTCAAACAAACGAAACTTAAATTAAAGTTGAATTTGGTTTATTGTGATATTTTGTTATATTCTATACTGAAAATTATTTATAAACACAAATTTATTCAAAAATTACAATGGTGATTTTTTTTTTTAATATTAAAAATGAAAAGAATACAAAAGATATCTCATTCTGTAAAATTTTTATACAAAACAATTATTTATATATCATCACTCATTTTTAAAAATGGTGTTGATTACCGATCCCATTATAAAAACTTTGATTACAACTACAGTAATCTTTAATTATATCTTAAATAATTCAACGTGGCTATGATTATGACTTAAACTATTATTATTATTATTTTTTAAAATTCAACAACTGTGAAGTGGAGTAGATATGATATGAGGCCCTTCTCTAGTTCTTGATTTTTTTCTTTCTGAAATTTAAATTAAAAACTTGATATGATACCTTATTTGAATAATCATTGAGAAGGATCATTCCAATTTGTTGAAAAATTTAATTCAAGTTTACTAAAATGATTAGAACTTACTATTTATCAAATTCAAATTTAATAAAAGAATTGGTAAAAGGAAATGCGCTTACAAAACCTTCAATTTAATTGGCCCATTTTTTAAAATAAAAAAATATATATTTGGCACATATTATTTTATTTTTTATTATTAAATAATAGAAAGGGAACATGGATTAAAAGCAAACCTTAGAGCATCTCCAATGGTAGTAGGCATTTTACCTATCTAAATATTACTATAAAGTATACATTTTATTTTGCCTGTCAACAACTTCATGTTTCTACCCCAACCATGCTCTTTATTTTAGCTATTCATCCAAATACTATTAACTTTATAGAATGCCACGTCAGCAACAAAGATGGAGGGAAATAATCTTAATGATTAAATACATTTTGCCTAGCCTTGAAGGCTAGCTACATGTAGCTAGTGAATGTGAGCTGAGCCAAAATGCCTAAGCATATGCCTAGTGCATTGAAGTTGAAAAAAGTGAATCATATTAGGCATTTTGATTAACAAGCATCATATGCCTAGTGGGTTGGAGATGCTCAGTCTGAGTATTCAACTATCTAGCATCATCAAACAAGCGATTAAAAAAAAAAAAAACACCCAACATAAGGTGATTAAAGATACCATGATTTAACTAAATTGAAAATAACAAGACCACCTTCTATGCCAAAATTCACCAAGCTTTTTGAAACCTATCCATGCCAACAATAATTTTTAGGTAACTTTAACTGCTCAATATTTTTGAAAGGAAAATGCTTGGGAGCACTAATTAGTGCTCCCACTAATTAGGTGGCAGTGGATCCCGCCATTAATGATGTGATGCTTTGATCTTGGAGTTGTGTTTTTTTTTTTTTTTTTTTTTTTCTTTTTTAATACATTAGTGCTATTAGTGGTGATGTTTTTAGTGGGATGAATCATTGTTGTTTTTAAAAACTTCAGAATAAGTAATTGTTTGGCATGTACAAAAATAGCATATGTTATTTTAACACATCATCTTATTTAAGTTACAATCATTTTATTTGGGTCACATCACTTCTTGTTCGAGTCACGTCACCTTTCTACAACATTATTTTAAAGCGAACCTATATTTCATATTTTTTCATAAAAAGTCAAAAAATATACTAATTTAACACTTCCCAAACAACCCCTAAATATCAAAATAAGACCTTATCTAATTAATTCAATGACAAGAAATTTTTTAAATTTTTTTGCCAGATTTAAGAAACTCTCTAAATGACCTAATGGTTTATTAGTCTAATATGATAATTAAATAATCAGAGGCCTTTGCTACCTTGTAAAGTGTTTAAGCTGACATAGTACAAACTAGCTCTGATACCAAATACAGGATCGTAATAAAATTTCAAAGTAAAGAACTAGATAGAAACCTTACAGAAACAGCGGAAACTTTGATTGAAAACTTGATTACAGATGAACTGCAGACTAGACTCGAACTTCAGACTAGACTTCAATTCCAGGTTATTATAAGGAGCCGGAACGAAAATATGGCATTCGCAAAGCAACAACATACAAAGGCAAGCCACATTCTTCTCATGTACGAATCGACAAAAGGAAGTATTTACAAAAGTCAAAACATTGTAAATGGTATCTTTGTGGTGAGGAAGGCCATTATGCTCGTGACTGTACTAAAGACAAGAAAAATGTCAAGAGAGTTGCAGTCTTTGAAAATCTCGGTATACCAGATGATTATGATGTCATCTCTGTTCAACCAGGAGAAAAATGCCTGGAGATCTTGGAGAAAGGATTAAGAAGGCATACCATGAACGACATGCTGGGAACGTAATTGGAGTTGCACCTAGGATACTGATTAACCATCTCAACCAGTACTTATTTCATAACACTTCCATGGACAAAGTGACAAGCTCACTCAAGTAAATAAAAAGCAACAACCAGAAAGATAAAATATTAAAACTGGTTTCCAATGATCATAAAATATTGTAAATTTGTCTGAGAGATTAAAGCATAGGGTTTGATCTTTTCTTCTTGTCTCCTTTTAATTCTTGGTTGATATATAGCAAGGTTAACAAATCCGACAACAACTATGATCCAAGATGAAATTCAAATAATACTCGAATCAAAACAAAACAATTTGCAAAAGAGGACCTAGTGCTCTATGAAGATCCACCTGCGCTTATGTACTGTCTTTCCTGCAGCACTGGAAACAAAAAAAGAAAAAGAAAAAGATTGAAACTATATGAATATTAGAATTAACCCAAATATATATATATATGTGAAAATTTTCAATTTCTGGTAAGACAGTTCAAATACCAAGAGCTATGGACTCAAACAAAGGTCTATGAAGTACAAGAGTACACCTTGTACAAGTTACTTCATGATGCAATCAATTACTTAAATGCCAAGCAAGTGCAAAGTGCTCCAAATCTAGCCACTTCATTAGTAGCTGCTTGTAAACAAGGGAAAAGTTCACATCAAAATGAAACTTCAAAAATAATTACAAATTAATAATAAATTTTATTAATACTAGTAATTAAAATTATAAAAAATTTCATACATATATTATAATTTTTAAACTATCACTGAGAATATTTTTCTTTCCCTACAAACAATAATGTCAATAAAAAATTGGTTAATAAGCAACCACCTAAGGCTTTAGAACCTTTACAACATTGTCCCTAATTATAAAAAGGGTTTGGTTATGGTGTGCACCTTACACCTTACACCTTATACCTTACACCTTATACCTTACAGTTACACCTTACACTTACACCTTTTGTAAAAAATTAAACCTTACACTTACACCTTTTTTGAGGTTGCACACCATGTGCAACCCACTTACACCTTACACCTTACACTTACACCTTACACTTACACCTTATACTTATACTTGCACCTTACACTTACACTTTTTGTGTAAGTGGCACATGGTGTGCACTTGCACACTTAAGAAAACTCCTTATAAAAAACATAGAAGAAACATCATAAAATGTTGTCCCTAATCATAAAAACATCCAAGACACAACATAATCTTAGGTCTTGTTTGAATATGGCTTATTTGGCTTTTTTTTTTTTAGTTTTATTTTTATTTATAACAAAAAAAAAAAAAAACCATCGTTAAACAAGATTTATTTATGTTTGGCTATTGCTAAAAAGACTACAATTTTTTTTCTTTACCCATTTTTTGGGTTAAATTACAAATAAAGCTTCTACAATTTACTTACAATATAGATTATCCCTATGTAATTTGAAAAATATTACAAACACTCTCTTATCAAAAAAAAATTATTAACAGAATTAACAAAAAAATAAAACTTCTAACTACTCTCTTATACAACAATAAAATTATCTAAATTGTTAATTAAAACATATTTATGACATCATGAAAAACCGTTAATTGACTTGATGACTTAATTTCTTATGCGATTATAAACTTGAAGGGGCGCAATGTAATTTTGAAAATTATATGAGACAATTTGCATTTTAAACAAATCTCATGAAGTTTATTTGTAATTTACCCTATTTTTTATAGTGAAATTCTTAAAATTTTGCATTAATTTTTTTGTTTACTTGTCAGGTCCCCTAGTGTAAAAGATCTAAAAAGTAAAATAAAAAATAAAAAATAAAAACAATCTATTAAAAAAAAATCAATTTACCTAAACTTTCCCAAAAACCAAAAAAGAAAAAAAAAAGGGAAAAAAAAGAACCAACTTTTTTACCAATTGCCAAACGCATCAACTTTTTTAGCAACAATTTTATCCTAAAAATGCAAAAAAGAAAAAAAAGAAAAGGAAAGAAAAAAACAACTAAAAAAGCAATTACCAAACCCAAGCTAAACTAATAACAATACCTAATTACGAAATTAGATTAAAAGGTTTTCAACCCCTTATCCGTCCTATCTTATTCCCGTCTTGCAAAGCATTGAAACTCACCCTTCTTGCCTAAAATAGCCTTGATCTAATGATTGGTGCTCTGCACTCCAAGATACCCTTGTGTTTCCTTCTTCCCCTACAAACAAATAACAAGCTAACTCTATTGATGTGAACCGAACGACAAAAACAAACAAAAAAAAATGTCCTAGGTAAGCCTTGACTGCACCTAGCCCACAACAAAGCACCACAATCCTACAAAATCATAGACTGAACAAACACCACCATTGCATAGGTTAGTGTCATAGACAGGAAATGAAGCCCCAACCTCCGATTTGGAACCTGTTCTTACACACTGGATTATAGATGTCAGGTCCACACATCTAGTTCTAAAAACAATTTTTGGGTAGCATCATAGAGATATCATCTAGCTTCGACTTTAGGTTGTCATGAAAAAATATCTGATCAACATAAGTCACATTATATCTTCATATCAAGATGAAAGAATTACCTGATATCAAGAATTCAAGATCAACATAGCAAAGAAAAATGTGAGAAACAAGTCTTTGCTGCGGCTGGAGTTTCCAAGGACAAGCCACTCTAGAAGACATTAAATTGCTGCGTAACTTTTGCACTGCAGGTTGGACACATGGAACCGATTCCACCTGTTTGTGTTCCAGGGTGTAGAGACTCACCATGGAATTCATTTCTGCACCAAACACAGATAGAAGTAACCTGATTCCTGGAAGCTAGATTCAGTGATAAAGCATCCTTTTCAAGCCAAAATGAGGAATCAAACCCTTGGTCCATCTGTGTGTTATAGGACAGAGATTTGGAGTCTCCTGGAAGAGAATTCAAATTTTGCATGGTCAGGAAACTGAATTCCACAGGTTCAATATGACCTGATTGTGCCCCTTGAAAACCTGACATGCTGTCATACTTGCCATCAACTCCAAGGAGCTCATTTTCACCCTGCTAAAGATAAAAGATGATGTCAAGCATTAACAAGTAACCTGAATAACCCAATTTTTGTCAACTGTTGTGGGACTAAATTATAAAGATAATCTCAAAAAGAAAAAGAAAAAAAAATACAAAAGATTGCTATCAATTCATCGCATTATGCACTATAACTTCAAATTAAAAAAAGCAATGTTAAAGTATCTAAAAATCCAAATTAAAATTACACATATACAGCAAACCAAGCAATGAATGAACAATTAATGCTTTGCGCAATATTGCCTCGGTATATTAGTTTCAAACCTTCAAATAAAATGTTAAAAAACAAGAAAAGAAATGATGAAAATTTACAGAAAATACATGCTATAGTAGTGGTCCTTACTAAAAATTCAAAAATAAACTGGCAGTTTTCACAGTTTTCCCTAGTGACATGCTCTATTTTCAAGATTGATACTCGTACCTTATCTGAGAGCATACCGAAGGTGGGAAAACAACCTGCAGATTGCTGCTGCTGGGTTGAAGTATCAGCTGAAGTACTCTGCAAGACAATTTCGTCATCAAGTCTCCACATATTGCCGGGCATGACATTCCCACCTGATTGGGTATTAATGCTGCCAAAACCAATAGTTAACTTATCATGCTCAGAATTTACAACCTCATCCATCATGGGCCCATCCCAAATTCCAACAGCGTGAACCCTGCTCAAATGATTATCATCAGCGCATGTTTTGGGAAAACAAGATGGACCAAGTAACCAACTTTCCTCTTTCGCATCCTTCCCTATTCTGCTGTTTTCCCTACTCGGATTAGCTTCGAAACTAAATGTTTGATGCATAGGAACATTATTCATAACATCAGCAACTATGCCCGTGCCATTGTTGCCAAAAGAAATCATTAGCTCATTATTGCTAAAGTTTTGGACTTCAGGTTTGGGTTCCTCGATGGACCTTGTAGAAACTCTATTCATCATATATACATCACCAAAAGTTTTCCCTGTACAAGACTGAGCAAATAAACCACAATCAAAACTTCCTTTCTGCTTGGGATGCTCCTCTGTGCTATTGCAAACCCCAGTTACATTTTCTTCAACAAATTCTTGCGCATTCCCAGACAGAACAGGTGAACCAAATTCAAGATTTCTATTCTGTGTGTTCAGTCTAGGGTAACTGATGCCAAAAGCGAGTTCATTATTCCTGTAAGTTTGAACTTCATCAAACTTAAGCTCCTCCATTTTCCTTGTAGAAATATTACCCATATCATTTTTGACACCACAGGTTTGTTCATAACCAGATAGAATATGAAGACTGTCTTCAGAACCTCTTTCCCGCACTCGTTCCTCCATTGTGCGAACAGAAACCACACTCTCATTATCTTTCATACCACATAATTGTTCTTTCCAAGATGGAACAAACAAATATCTTTCAGAATTCTCATGTTCAACCCTAGTTATAGCATCCTCATCTATTGCCTCCTTGTTCCCACTGTTGTTTGTTGCATCAATCTTGGTCTTGAAGATTGAGCTACCAGAAGCCCTGTAAATATCCTTGACACCACATGTTTCCTTATCACTTCTTTCAGAATCTCTCTTTTGCTTGGACTCTTCCAGTGAAGAAGTTGAAAATGAATTCATGTAATTAGAAGTATCACATTTTTCATCATTACTGACTGGGATGGGTGAACAGGCTCCAGAACCATTTTGTTGCTTGCCTTCAGTAACAAAATCCTCATCTGGTTCAGCACGACTACTGCCAAAACTATGGATTAGTTTACTATCAAATTTCAGTGTATCAAGTTCATGCACATCCTCCATGTTTTCAACACCACACGATTTTTCATTCTCAAGGGGAGCAAGCGAAACACTTTCTAAACCTGCTTCCTGATTTGGCTCCTCTAAAATAATAGAGTCCTCATTCACATTAATTTCAGCACCACAAATTTTCTCATTAGCAAAAGGAGAATGTGGACAGCTTTCCAAACTTCTTCCCTGTCCAACAACTTGATCGTTAACTCTGTTTGCAGTGCACTCACCATTACTGTTAATCTCATTACCAGACACAGCAACTTCAGAATCCAAACAAAAATTAAATGTAGCAGTAACATCATCATTAGCCTCATCAACCCTACCCAAACAATTGGCCATCTTATTGCCTCTATCGTGCTTTACACAAGGGTCTTCAGCGAAATTTCTTTCATTTCCAATGGAATTTGCATCCTGCTCATCATGAGGCAAAACATTTACTTCATGACCAGACCTGTCACTATAACTTTCTATATCTGAACCAGTTGTAAGTTTACTTTGAGAAGAAACAGGCTTCGGTACACTATCGGCATTGGTATTATATGTTGCAGCATCATAGTCATCTCCAATGGATGTTTGCATCATAGACTTCTTCGGGGGAACTTCATCTGAGGATGAAAGGCTAACACTATTTTGCAAGGTCAGAGCTCCTGACAATGCTTCATCACTCTTCATGTGGTGTCTTTTATGGGCCCCAACATGGCCATTGTAACGATTCCTTTCATTGAATGTCTTATGGCAGAACTGGCACTCAAATTGTCCACCTTTGATTATCACCCCATCAGTGATGGATGCACCAAATCTAGATTTCTTTCTCCTATGGGATGATACTTGGTGGTGCAACAAACCATCCTTCTCATTGAAAGACATGGAGCACCTGTCACACTTTAAAATATCTCCCATTTGGATCTCCGCAGAATTTCCAGCCTCTGAAGTGACTTGCTTCTCGTGATCATTTGAGACACAAGTAATGACCGATGGTGAATGGCAAACAAGGTCTCCACTTTTGTTGACTTCTTTGACAGCAAGATCTGCAGCCTGTGGCATATCCCCACAAATCAACATTTAAAAAAAAAATGGATGAACAAATATGATATATAATATATATCAACTTACATTTTCGCAAGCCATGTTGCAAGTCAACTGAATATTCTCATTGCTTTGACCACAGTTTGGCTGATGTGAATCTTGGACTCCAAAGAGGGAAAGCAAATATGAGGAAACTTCCTTGCATGTCACAAATTGCCGTCCATTAGGGCTGTGTACCAAATTAAGAATAACTATGTAAGTAAGAAAACAAATGAAAGGAATTTCAAGATAAAATATAATCATTATGAATAAAATCTTCTACTAAGACACAACATTCATGAACTACTACAGGCTCTAATGAGGAACATATATGACTGTAATTGGAATTTATAATAAAGAATCAATTACTTTTTTTTTTTTTTTTTTGGAGATGAAGAAATAGATAATCAAACATCCCAGCCAAGAAATCACCTTTCCAACTTGGTAGGATGGTAGGACAATTACAACCGTCCAACCAGACCCCAGATTAATTTTTCACAGAATATCTCACACAGGACAGCTGAATTGTCAGTTCTACGATTCCATGATCATTTTATAGGGGAAAAAAAGAGGATTAAGTTAACAAGGCAAGGGAACAGGCTTAGGAGGCCCAAAATAAAAAGGACTGGTGAAGTTTCGTTTGGCGAGAAGAAAAAACGAAGGCAGTAAAGTAAGAGAAAAGGAGAACACAACCCTAGTTCACAAGGTTGGGTAGTGGAATAATTCAAAACATGTTCAAGTCAGTCCATCCAATGAGCGAGAGCCAGCAAAAGGAAATGAAACAAAATAAAGCAAAAAATCTATTGTTTTTCTTTACCGGATAGATGAATGATAGGAAGATCTCCAAAATCTATTGATGCTAGAGTAAGCTGGTCAGTAAAAATATGTGAAATGTGAATTTGAAAAAGGTGAAACCTAATGGCTACTCACTAAATAGACATGTTTTGTTTCCATGACTCGATCCCCCCATTAGAGAAGAAGAAAGAAAAGTTAACAGTATAATTGGAACAAGATTGATCAAGTGCATTTGTGTTTTAGAAAAGTCGTAACTGTAAAAGTCTATCAAGTGACAATACAATCCTTATAGTCAGCCATATTTTGGATAAATATTTACATGAATATAAAATAGTCATAGCCAAAATGAAGATTATGAATGTTGGGAGATGAGTTGAAAAAGGAGCCTTTTGAAAATTATGGTATAGGTAAGGCAGACACATAAGGTCATGGTCCTAAGATGTCTTCACCTAGAGATATCTCACAAGTTCCTTAAGGCAAAGTGGAATGAGCACCTTGATGAACTATCAACTCTAACTACCCAATCGCATGAAGCTAGAGGCCTCGCACCCATAGCTAATAATTAGGTTGATGTGGAACATAGAGTTCTTGGCATGGGGGCTTTATCTGCAATTTTATAATTTTATATCTTTAGTATTAATATTTGTTTTCTTTTTAATTATAGTTTTAATTAGGAGTTCTATTAATATTTGGTTTCCTATTTTATTGGCGATTCTATTTCCCTTTTCTATTAGGGTTTAATTTCCTATTTTGATTAGAGTCATTAACCTATAAATAATGATTTTTTCATTGTGTAAAACTTTCTTCACATGACTTAAAAATAGTAACGTTAGTAGTACACATATTAAATCATGTTTATAAATTAGATAAAACCTAGCAAAATTCATTTAAAGCTCATTAAATGCAATTTTATTTTCCATCGAAATATCCGAACAATTTTTGTTTCCTAATAGACCGAAACGAAACACTAGTAAAATAAAGAAATTCTTGTGTTTCTATGTTACCTGGAACGTGGATCATTTAGGTACATGGAATGGGAATAGGAACTGGAACGTGTGGTATGATAGGGATAAACTTCTCTATATTACACTTAAAAATTTAAAGTACTTCTAGAGTAATTTTCTTTTGACTATTAGGTATCTAATAAAATGTATTTTAATTTTAATTTTTTTCATTTTTGATGTTTTTGTCTTGTCAAAACTTAACCTGCCTTAGATTTAGTTCATAATAATTGATTTTTTTCCTCCTAAGGTAAAATTTAGGCTATGTTTGTTTAGAAAGAAATAGATGATAGAAAGTGAAAATGATAGAAAATGAAGTAAAAGAAAAAAAAAAAAAAATGAAGATTTATTTTTTTGCATGCATTAAAATAGATGGAAAACTTAGCAAGAAAATGATGGATAGAAATGTAATCACTGCATAACAGGGAGTTGTGGAGAAAAACATGGGCAAAGAGGAAAACAAAATAAGCATTGTCCAGTTTTGTGGTAAAAAAATCAATTTCCCCATATATTTTGCGAAAAATCGTGAGTCTAACTAACAAGCTAATTCGAGTTGTATTAGTTTCCATTACTTTCTAGAACTCTCTACCTAAACAAACACAAATTTTTTTTCTTTTTCTTTTTCTTTCACTTTCCTGTATTCTTTATCTAACCAAACTAAGCTTTATGGAAATATATTGGAAAAAACTTTTAGGATCGTTTCCGATCACTAAATTTATCATTTTGGCATGGAAGTATACCATGTTTTGGAGCGTGCACCAATACAAAATTCACTAGAGTATTAGCATTTTCTGATAACACAGATTTAAACACACCGAAACATGGTGAAACACACCAAAACATGGTGAAACATACTAAAATAATAATTTATGTCGGAATATATTTAAATTTTTTAATTAATTTTTATACAACATTATTTTGAGCAAAATATATAAAAGGTTGTATTTTACCATATTAGTAAATATTATATTTAACTTTTTTAATTAATTATGATACAACATTATTTTAAGCAAAATATATAAAAGGTTGTATTTTACCATATTAGTAAATATTATTATTAATATAGTAATAATTTTATACTACTATATACTAATTTTTAGTCCTTATTTTGTTGGGATCTTCCACACTTTTAGAATCATTTACAATTGTTTAATAAAGATAAGTTATTTGACAATTCTTAGTAATTTTTTTTTTTAAAATTTATCATTGATTTTACTTGTCATTTTATGTGAATGATTATGAATCTCAATATGTTTAATTAATTATTATTAAACCTTTAAATATTTAGATAAATTTCAGTTTATGTTTCTAAGCATTTCTATGTATTTTCATACTATTCCGTTGCTTTTGAAATATTTTTGGAACGTTTTTGCACCATACTAAATAATAATTGAAACAACACATCAAAACAAAATTGTAGTCCTCGATTATGGAAGCAAACCATGTACAAGTCAAATTTTGCTTTTAAAAATTTTATCATTGATTTTACTTGTCATTTTATGTGAATGATTATGAATCTCAATATGTTTAATTAATTATTATTAAACCTTTAAATATTTAGATAAATTTCAGTTTATGTTTCTAAGCATTTCTATGTATTTTCATACTATTCCATTGCTTGTGAAATATTTTTGGACCGTTTTTGCACCATACTAAATAATAATTGAAACAACACATCAAAACAAAATTGTAGTCCTCGATTATGGAAGCGAACCATGTACAAGTCAAATTTTGCATAGTTGTGAGCAAGAAAAAAAATTCACATTTCTAATTTCCGCTACCACTATGTTACTTCCGTCACTACCCTATAATCGCATCATTGCCACCATTACCATCAGTGGCAGCTACCATTACTTAAACCTTGATCTCAACTAATGATGGAGACGCAGTGAAAGTATGTGTGACAACAAAATGGCATGGCAACATCGTGGGATGTAGTTTGTTAGAGGTTCCAAGTTCCAACCCTGAATGTGGACTCGAATCAAGGCCAAATCATGCAAAAATCAAATTTTAGGAAATGCAAAATCCAGCAATGGCTTGAATTCCACAAGCTATGTGCTCAATTTTTTATTTATTTATTTTTTTTGTGGTAAGAACCATGAGTTATGAGCTCAAGGCGAAGCCTTAAGAAGTTGCAAAATAAGGTTATAACATATAATAAAATACCAAAATCTGAATTTTCAATTCCTTAACAGCTACCTCCACCAAACTAATATTGCAATCTCATATCTACGTAGTTAAAGAGATTACTTTATAGTGAAATGCCTATAAATTTATTTATATAATAAAAAAAACCCTACAAAACAATAAGGTGACTAGTGGCAAACTTGCAAGCACTCAATAACAAATTAGTAATACTAATACATGATCTACATGTAACCATTCAATGACAAGTGAGTGAAATATGAGTCCATATGTAGCCACCCATTGATACATGTACTACATACAATTGCTATACCAAAGAGTAAGATAAGGTGCTTACAACAACCACCTCAATGACAAAATCCCCCACCTACAAAGGAAGTTACCTTACAAAAGCACAATAATAAAAATATACCTAATGATAAAAATCTAAAGTACATCACAACCTATATCTAAATAGGCTAGTAAACCATACAACTAGAAAAAAGATTCTTAAACACTTTTCTTAAAGCTTGATCATGTGCCTTTTGTTCTCAAGAGTTGATCCTCAATCTTGATTGCATCATTGTGGCGATGATGTGGCAGGTTCGTTTGGCTTGTGGACCCATATATGCATGGAAATAAGCAACAATTTCTAAAGATGGATTGCCAAACAAACAACTTTGTAAAAAACTCGATGTAGTCCCAACAGACAATAAGACAAGGAAATCAAAACCCAAATAAGAAAAGTGAATGCCAGTAATAATATCCTATTAAGGCAACTCGAAAACTACTCTTCATTTTTCATTAGTTAAAGTACAAAAAAAAAAAAAAGGTACACTTTGTTTTACCTGGCCACATTTTCATCTATGTGCTCCAATACTACTCTTTATTTTATCTATCCATCCAAACAAGCTGTTTAAAGAGCCTCCCAAGACTCTTCAAAGATAGCTAGCCTGGACGAGCATTGTTAGAACAACTCCAACATGACTAGTCATTTTTTGCTAGCTAAAGGAGACAAAAAAGAACAATCTTTACTTTAACTAGTCACCTAGTAATCCAACACTACTCTATATCTAGTCCTCTACCTAAACTAATCTATGATTGATAGTGTTTTATGGCACGCTACATCAACGTTAGAGATGGAGGGAAAGAAAAGGAAGTGTTACTTTGGATTTGAAGAATGCCTCTCTAAATGCAGAGAGAAAAAAAGTGGGAGGTAAATTAACTTAGCATTTAGAGTTTGTTGGAACTATAAAAAATAAAAAAATAAAAAAAAAAGACAAGCTATTTTACCTAACTAGCCTAATTTGAAGAGCTTGTTGGAGTTGCTCTTAAAACTGTTGGAGAGGAGTAAAATGGGGTGACATGCCTCTTCTAAAAGAAAATTCAAATGCATTTAAAACTAATATTAACCACAAAAAGGTAAAATGAGAACTTAGAAATCGACTATTATTATTCATCTTTCCCATTAGCACAACCGTTTTGATCCAAAACTAGATTCCAAGACTAATAATTTCTATTATTTTTTCCTTTATAGGTTCTTTATTTTATCTTCCATATTACTAGAGGTTAGCACATGCGATGTTTGTGCAATTCAAATAAATAAAAATAAAATAAAATATTTACTATATATATTGTGTTGTGTCAAAGAGTCTTCTTCACTAGACTTGCGGTCCAAGTCGCACTCCTATTTATATAAAAAAAAAATTTCCAATTAAAAAAAAAATGAGGGACACGTGTGACATAAGGAAAAACAAGCAAAAGATTGGACAGCAAGTCCAGCCTTCACTTAATATAATAGTATAGATAAAGCATCATCCTGGTATTTAGGTCAAGAAAGAACCTTTGAATCTCAATCTAATACAACAATGCATGCATCATGAATATTGATTAAAATTCCTTTATTCTTTGTTCTCTTTCTTTCATCGAACACTATCAACTATTGTTATGTCTAATATTTCTTGATAATTTCCATCCACAAATATGTTGCATTCTGAAGCAAATATTAACCAGAAAAACAAAAAAACGAGAACATTGAAATCAAGAAACAACACAAAAACATTGAAAGCAAGCAACCACAGAAAAACCTTATGTATCGACGAACAAACATCCACACACGGCCTTCTTTCTTCTTGAGGGAAAGCAAGAGCTTCCAACCTTTGGGCAATGCATCTCCAAACTCATTTGCATCGACAATCTTCTTCTTCTTCCTCCTACTTCCCCACTGTCCATTCGACTCCTTTAAAAACCCTAACAGCTCTTCCTCTGTCTTCAAATTCTCAGTCCTCCTCTGCAATTCAACACCATAAGGATCTTCCAAACTCGCCAGCTCAGCCAAATCAACAACATTCCCATTTTTATTCACAATCTCCTTATCCCTGTCCTCAACATTCTCATACACAACAATGTCCTTAATCACACCGTCCCCGCCCTCGTCCTGAACCTCCACGGGAACCACCTCAGTCACTTCAGCAGCCACCAGTGCCAGATTTTCATTCTTCCGCGGCCTCCCTCTCTTCCGCTTCACCCCATAATTGCCCACATTCGGCAAATGCTTCACCCCGTAATTGCCCACATTCGGCAAATTGGGAAGCGAATCGCTGTATTCGACACGAATTGGGACTAATTCGTCGCTATTAATGTCCGATACGAAAAGATCTTTCAAGAGACCGATGATTTGGGAATTTTCGGCCCGTTCGGGATCGGTATCGTCGGAGAGATTGGTGGCGGATTTTAGGGTACGGAGGTGAGGGGTGCGGCGGGGGATGGAGGAAGTGGTGGCGGTGGAGGAGGCGGATTCGGGCTTGCGAGGGGCGAGGCGGAGGCGAGAGTAGGTCTGTTTGCGGCTGCCGGCGGATTCGTTGAAGACGGAGCGATCGATTTTGGGAATCACAACGTCGTCGCAGAGTGGATCGAATGCTCCGTCGGAGCAGAGGGAAAGGGCGTAGAGTTCCGATTGGGAGAGGAGGCGGAGATCGACGGCGGGGATTGATTCGAGTTGAAGGCGGTCGGAGGACGGTGAGTCTACGGTGGCGGAGGCCATGAGGGAGTGGTGGTGGTGGTGGTGGTGGTGGTGGTGGTGAGGTTTGTGTTTAGAGAGAATTGGTGGGGCTGGGTTAAATTTGTGAGAGAACTTGAGAGAGTACGGATCTCGAACCAGTTTCATGTTGTTTCCGTCGATCTCTACGGTTATACGGTGACACGTGCTGATTCGCGGTAGTGTTTCGATACAATGGGCTTATTACTGCACACGTAAAATAGCCCACATCATATGGACTGGGCTTCAGAGAATCATGCCTAGGCTAGGAGGCTAGGATCGCCATTTCGGCCCGCTGAGGGAATGGTTTGGGCATGGTTTAGTTTATTCGTTTTTTACGAAAATATTTATAGAAAAATAAGGAAGTGATAACTTATAGAAAATAAGTCAATAAGCAAACCACCCTTAAGTGGTATTTTAAAAAGTCGATAAAAAATTGATTTTTTAACTTTTTTTTCTTATTTTTTAACCTTTTTTATAATAAAAAACTAACTTTTTGTGGCTTTTTGGAGGCTTTTTTGTGTGTAAAAAGCTAGCTTTTTTAACTCCTTTCCAAATTGCCCCTCAGTTTCGTTGAGTAAGGGTTGGGCTTTAAATTATGGATTGCTTACACGAAGACTCCCTATATTATTAATAAATATCACTTTGACCCCCTATTCAATAAAAACGTACAAATTGAATCTCTTAAACTATTGAGAAATATCACTTTACCATTTTAACTATAAAAGTGTACAAATAGACCCTCTAAACTATTGGTGACCCATTCCATTAAAGAGTCCAATTTGTATATTTTTATAGTTTATGAAACAAAGTGATACTTTTTAATAGTTTAATAGTTTAAACGATCCAATTTGTATATTTTTATAATTTAAGGGGTTAAAATGATACTTCTCGATAGTTTAGATAAGGGTCATCAATGGGACGGGATGGACTTACCTAACCCACAACTTTTGTGCCTAAAGCCCATATTTTAACGAGTTTTTCAGGTTTTGACTATTCAACGAATTGATATGAGCCGAACTTATTTACAAATTTAAAACCACATCCCACCCATAAGCTCAAAACTTTCAAGTCAAAATCAAACCGAATTAAGCTGCACATTTTTTTATTACACTTATATTATTAAGTTCTATACATTTTTATTCACATATTTTTAATATTTTCATTAATTTTTATTTTTATTTACTTCCTAACATAATTCAATTATTTTGATTTTTTAAAATCTTATATAATTAAAAAGCATTACACTTACATTATTAAGTTCTATACATTTTTATTTACATATTTTTAATATTTTCATTAGTTATTTTTTTATTTACTTCCTAACATAATTCAATTATTTTGATTTTTTAAAATCTTATATACTTAAAAAACAATCAAGTAACATATAATACCTACAAGTGGAGGGGAAAAAATAAAATAAAAATAGAAACTTTAAACATGAGAATAAAAAGTGAAAAAAAAAAATCAAACTAAACATTGGACTTACCCATGTTGACTCTTAATGGCCGGGTTTATGGTGGGGTTCAAATTACAAACAAGTTTAAATAAGTTTAAATAAGTTTGGACCAAACCATTCTTATTCAAATATTTTGCTAATATTGGATTTAATTCAACACACACATTGGTTAGTACAATGGGCTAAAGGTTTGGGACTTTATTTAAGTTGGGAAAGAGACCAAATATGTATTATAATAAATGTTTGTGATAATTTATTTTGTGGAGAATTTGAAAGAGTCATATCTAATTCAAAAACAAAAATATTAGAGGTCTCAAAAATTTTACCAAATGTCTCACATGGATGTAAGACTCACATTGTGTGGGTCTTACACCCATAAAAAATTTTTGGTAAAACTTTTAATAGAATATTTGAAATTTTTAGAATTGCTCATTTAAAAATGACTGAAAGGTCAACAACCACCAAGTTTATAATGGAAATAAATAAAATAACTAATATAATTTTTATAATAATAAAGTGTAAAAGCTGATCAATTAAATTAGCCCGATTAATGAATTATAGGTTGATTCTATTGCCCAGAAAGAAGATATGATATGATAAGAAAGGGAGATGTTACTTTTTTTTTTTTTTTTTTTTTTTTTGGGGGGGGGAAGGGGGCGGTGATTCCGGTTAGCATACAGTGTCCTCTACAACGTTATGACACCCCCATACAGTGTCCTCTACCACGTTATGACACCCCCATTCAGTATCCTCTACACCGTTATGACACCCCCTTCAGTGTCCTCTACACCGTTATGGCACCACCATACAGTGTCCTCTACAATGTTATGACACCACCATCCCGTGTCCTCTACCACGTTATGGCACCACCTTTCAGTGTCTTCACCAACGGTCTGACACGACCATACAGTGTCTCCTACTTTTTTTATTTTTATGTATTTTCTTGTTTTGTAACTCTCTCCAAACTCAAGTGGGTTAGTTCCTATCCTCCTTAAGTTTGCGGGGGGCTGTTAGAATTTACCAATTTACTCCTCCACCTACCATCTCCACTAGCACCCACTTCACCTACCACCTCCACTACACTACACCTACTACCCAAACCCTCTCTTATATAATGCCACTCTGATTTGTAATACAACACATCAATATATACAACAATCTTGTAAGACAACAATAAATCAATAATACATGTGTTTTAACAATAACAAAACTAAAAAGACATGTAAATGTTTAGTGACTCTTATTAGTGGGAGTAATATAAAAATTTAATGGCTAAGTATAATAATAACTATATAAGATAGGATCCATGTAAACCAAAAGTTAACACATAAGAATTTGATTCTCTAGAGCATTAGAGAAACTATTAGTTGACAATAAGTCTTAAGAAAGGGCAAGTTAATATATCTTTGCCCATTTTAGCAACCAAAGTTGGCACTTATAATTTTATTTGGAAAGCTGAAATGAAAATTTGTGACATGTTGAGTTCTATCTAAAATCATTTGAGGACAAATTATATTTTATTTTTTTTAGCAATGAATCATTGTCAATCAGTAATCTTCTAATTTGTTTAATTTCAACTTTTTGTAAACATTTTGTTATGAAAGATGATAGAAAAATGACATTTAGTTCTAGGAGATCTTGCTTGCAATAAAAAAAAATATAAAAAAAAATTAAAGATTGAAAAGCCAAAGATAATAAAGATTAAACATTTTCATTATCTAAGTTCAATTATTAACAAGAATGGAAAATTAGAGACAATGTAATTTATAAAATCAAAATATGTTCTCAAGTGGAATAGCGTTTCCAACTTATTATGTGATCGATCAATATTGATACAATTGAATGAATTATATATATATATATATAAACTATAAAGCTATGGATGGTTTAGGAGGCAAAATCTTGGACATTAAAAAAATAATGCATTCATAAAATAAGTGTAAAGAATAATTAAGAAATGTACGGCAAAACCAGCAAAGATAAAATTAAAAATAAATACCTAACTTTGGTTAATAATGTTATCTTTTGTACCCGACATGATATCCGATGGTTGCATGTTGGTTTCCTCGACAATGACTAGGAAGCCAAAACAAGTCACAATACCAAACCAAACAAAACAAAACAAATTAAACTAAACGTGGTTGGTATTGTTTTTATTTATTTTATTTACTTTTTTAGGTTTTTTGAGCTTTTAGAAACAAAAAAACACTGAAAAGTCAAAGTACCTATGGTTGTCATATGTTTTAATTTTTGTGCAAAAACAATTTTCAAAAGCTCATTATTAGTTTCATTCTAATAAGTCTTGGGAGATCTTATTTGCAATATTTTGTTTTCTATAATGACCAACTTGATTAACTCTCCATGGAAATGATGACTCATAACATTGTGAATGGGTCGGTTTTGTTTAGGTTAAACTATTAAAACCAAACTAATCATGACTGGTTCTAGGTTTTTAAATTCAAGACAAAGCTAATTAATCATGCATCGGAACCAACTCAATTCAAGCCTTGGATTAGTCTGAATTGAAATCACGGTTCCACTATAATAAAAATAAGTGAATCGATTAACAATAAATGATTAAAATAAACAACTCTTGAACATTTTTTTAACACAATACAAACAAATAACACTTGCAGAGATGATATGGATTGAGTTCGGAAACTTGGGAGACAGTCACCAAGAATTAAAAAAATAACTACAGTAGCGCAGCTTGTAGTTGTCTAGATGAAAGTAGGAAATGAATTTTAATTAGTCCTCACTTTTGTTTTAGGTATGCAATGATCAGATGTAATCAATTCCATTGTAGTATTTGTAACAGCCCAATTATATGAAATTATATACAATATATATATACAAGTTCGGATCTTGGTTGGTCTGAACCATGGCTCAACCCATTTCTATCGGATGAATAAGTTTTATAATTCAAAACTAAACTAGTGTATTGAAAAAAATAAAACTAACCCAACTTATAAAAATGGAATTGATTTGATTCCTTATTCATTTTAGGTATTTTGTGAAATTCTGCCACGCACGTCCTTTACTTATGTCCTTTCTTAATAGGAAAAACATATCACATACATTGAATCTTTCTAGTTTTTTTCTTCTCAATATTTTCGATTTGCTCAAATAAATATTTGGAATGAAACATAACCAAAAAAAAAAAAATTTAAAATTAAAATTAATAAAACTAATTATGAGAATTGTTACTTTAGTAAATGATTCATCCACATAAATTTGCCATCCGAATGCCCTCCGAATGGGTTTCTTACTGATAAGAGTCTTATTCGGGGGGTTCAGGCAGAAAATATTAATGAAAATAATAATAATAACAATTGAAAAGCTAAAGATAATAATGTGACCTATAAAATCAAAATAAATTTTCTCAAACGGAGGGGTGTTTGTGACTCATTATTTGATCAATGAACATTAATAGAATTCAATTAAAATTTATAAAACAATTATAAGGCTAGAAATGATTAACAAGACAAAATATTGGATAAAAAAAATCATTCATAAAATAATTGTAATTAGGATGAGAATTCTTAAATAAATGTATGATAAAATTAAGGATTAATTATACTTTTCACTCTTATACTTTAATCCTTATAGTTTTAAATTAAACAATTTGGTCACTCCGTCTGAATTGGAGGTTAAAATTAATAATTTTAAAAAACTTGTCAATTT